GATCTGATAAAGTAGCATTCATGAGCGGAGCTGCTTTGATTACAGCCATTACTGAGGAAACCGCTAGTTTTATCACTCTAAAAGCGCCTCCTGCTGGCAGAGAATGAGTTTGCATTTTCAGTAAGCCCGTCTCCAGCAACATTTCCAGTTTTTGTTGTTGTAAAAAAAAAAATTCTGCAGCGACTTGGAGCACTTTTCATACCCTTTTTTCTTGCTTATATCGTGATATCAATTTTGGCCATATCGTCCAGCCCTAGCCTCATACCATAAACGATGATATACATGAGTGCATCTAAACAATGTGTATTAAAAATAACAAAGCTAGATAAAAGCTTCTGCCTTATGAATAAAAATTATTTAAAGTAAATGAAAATGTCATTAATGTTAGAGATTCAAACAGCAGGATTAAAAATAAAACAATATTTTTAGAAAAACTTGACATCGTATATTAATGTGGAGGGAAAAAAGCACAATTTCTTTAAAGGGGTCATATGATGCTGCTAAATTTTGGAAGGCCAAACAAAGTAGTTTCGCTTTCACAATGAAAAACACAGCGGCCTAGCGTGAGCGGAAGCCCCGGCTTAGCGTGAGTTGAGGCCGGGATAGAGTGAGCTGAGGCGGCAGGGTCGACGAATGAGCAGCAACCACATGTGACGGACCCCGGGCTGGATTCCGCTTCGTCCGCGGTGAAAGTTGATGAATTTCCTCAGCAACCAGCACGGATCAGCTCTAGGCATGACGAAGCGTATATCGTCCTCTTTTGGAAGACCAAACAAAGTAGTTTCACTTTCACAACGAAGCACACAGCGTCTTCACGACATGGCTGCAGCGGCAACAATACTACAGTGAGACTAAAAGTTACGCCTTCTTTCTTAGCGTGAACATTTGGGCGGCGTTATGCAAATCTTCCCACAGAGCGACGTAGGTATGTTGGGGCGGGTTAGAACGAGGCGTTTTGGGTAGGCGTGGTTAACTCTTAACTTTTATAAAGAATATCTCTTTGGATTTGAGACTTTAGTCTTTACAACTTTACAGATCTTCTTTATGCACCAAGAGCTTGTAACACTCCAAAGAGAAAGGAAAAATTGAAATCGCATCATATGACCCCTTTAAGTATTATTATGGGATATAATTATAATATTAATGTAGGATGTTCAAAATCATTAAGTTGTTCAGGATCATCCATGTGACTCATGTATGTTTGTCTGATGAATGAATGTGTGAATCAATTATATTCTTCAGGTGTTTGTTTGCATGCGTTACATTATGAATCCAGACAGATTTCTCTACTCACAAAACTTATGATCTGTAGACAAACATCTTCACAGCTCTTTCCTGCTGTATTTGCTTGTAATTAACTGTTAATTTCTTGTTCAGGTTTTTCTGGTGTTGGTTCAGTCAAAGTCTCAGTGTTTGTGATGGAGGGAGATTCGGTCACTTTACACAATGATGTTGAAACAAACCCAGATTGGAATAGATGGGATTTTCATAACATTATCATAGCAGATCGCAAACCTTTCTGTACAGATGTCACTTGTAATAAAAGATACAAAGACAGGCTGAAGCTGGATCATCAGACTGGATCTCTGACCATCACAAACACCAGAATCACAGACTCTGGAGTTTATCAGCAATGGATCACTGGCAGCGGTAGAAATGTCTTCACTGTTGTTGTTCGTGGTGAGTCATTATGTTTAAAATCAAACCATGTACATTTAAATAACATCATTAATGTGTTTAGTGATATTTTTTGTAATATTCATATATTGCATTTGTTTCGTGAAAGTTTCCAAAAAGGTAGACATAGTAAAATGTTAATTTTCACCCCATTTCGTATTGCTGAAGCTCATAAGGCATGTAAACCACTTCTCAAACTCTCCCTTTATGTTCTGGTTAATTTCATTATAATTAGCCTCATACAATTTAGTGATCAATTATGTTCTTCTGCTGTTTGATTGCATGTGCTACATTATTAATCCAGACAGATTTCTCTACCCACAATCTTTATGATCTGTAGAAAAACATTTTCACAGCATTTCCCTGTTGTAGAATTTTGTTTGATTTAGAATTAACTGTTGATTTCTTCCACAGATGTGTCTGGTGTTGATACAGACAGAGTGTTTGTGAAGGAGGGAGATTCAGTCACTCTATACACTGGTGTTAAAACAGACCAACAAGACACAATTAAATGGTATTTTAATAAGACTCTCATAGCTCAAATCAGTGGATATCTCGGTTTAGTCTGTAAAGAGGTCCAGTGTAATATCCAAGGTGAAGGACAATCCAGAAACAGACTTCAGTTCAGAAAAAGACTGCAAGTGGATTCTCAGACTGGATCTCTCACCATCAGAAATATCAACACCACAGACTCTGGACTTTATGATCTACTGGTCATCAGCAGATTAATCAGCAGTAGTACAAAGATCTTCAACGTTACCATACCTGGTGAGTCATTATGTTTAAAAGCAAGCCTTGTACTTTTAAATCACATCATTAAAGGGTTAGGACCAGTCATTGGTATCAATGGCTTCATTAACCACATGAGTATTGTCATGCACAAAACTAGAGACAAATCAATCAGAAAGGATAAGTAGCCACCACCTTTAAAACATTCCCTTTTTAGGGGTTGTCTTGCTTTTGACTCTCAAGTGCATCTGTTGTCACTTTCATTTGCACCAAAGCAGGCAGAACTGATTCACAATCACTTATGCTCCCTAACTGAATAGATCGATAATCCCTGAAGTTTAACTGACTTGGTGTTATACTGTGATGATTGACTGTGATGTTCCCTTAATTTTTTACACTTTGAAATGTTGTCTTGTGAAAACAAACTGAACCAAATAAAAAATGGAACATTGTACAAGTCTGAAAATGCCTTACTCTTACCCTAGTTTTGGTAGAAAGACTTTAGATATTGGATTGATTTATTATCAAAGTCCAAACTTTCAATCTTTAAATATAGGAAATAAGAGTGGACCCTACTGATGGTCTTCTCAGCATCAGGACTGATCAGAGTAACTAGTATCTTAATTCTTTGAACTCTATTTATTTTATGTACACTTGTACATAAACATACATTAAATGTAACACATTTTTATATATATATATATATATATATATATTTTTTTTTTTTGTTACATTTAATTAAAAGAGTTGAAGCAAAATTATTTCTGAACATTTAGTTCACTGAAACATTTCGTCTCAATTTCAAGTTTACTTAAATTATTTGTGTTGGGACTGCCTGAATAATTTGTTGAATTAACTGAAAATGCTTTGCATTTCCAACCATACTTTCTCTGATCAGCATCTCTAGTCATCTGTTAATTGATCTATTATTTCATACTCGTTGATTTTTAGTTCATTAAATAAAGTGCAGACAATTTGGTGTTAAACAAAGGTCTGTTGAATGCGCTCATAATGAGGACAAATGCTCTTTCTTAATTTTTAGTCAGAAAAGCAACATGAAAGTCACTTTCCACAGTTGTTTCATGTTGTGTAGCTTGTTTTTTCTCTTCTTCTTCTTCAGCAAAAATAACCTCTAATCATCTCTTGGTTTGTGTTTCAGATGTTCCTGCTCAACGGGATGAAATGAAGAGAAAGTCAGTGGTGGAAGGAGATTCTGTCACTTTAAATCCTGGTGTAATATATAATCCAAATGATTCAATGACGTGTTATTTTAATGACACTCTAATCGCTGAAATCGCTGGAGGTCAGAATAAGATCTGTGCAGATAATGAGTGTAAAGAGAGATTCAGAGACAGACTGAAGCTGGATCATCAGACTGGATCTCTGACCATCATGAACATCAACACCACAGACTCTGGAATCTATAATCTACAGATCACCAGCACCAGCTTCAGCATCATAAGGAGCTTCAGTGTTACTGTAACTGGTGAGTATCATTTAGTCATTCAAACTCTGCAGCCACTTTCAAGGGCGAAGCATTTGGCATCTTAAACAATCTTCAATTGTATCACCATTAATGCAGAGGAGATGAGCATTTTTATTTCATAGAATCTGCATTCATTTTAGGAAACATTGTAAAAATGAAGCTTGTCTCAATTTTGACATCAAATGCAGCTCAAATAACATCTGTTTCATTGGCATGAATGGAAAAAAATGTGGCAAAATATGCTTTAAAAAAGTCCCTGTAAGTGACTTGGTAAAAAGTTGCTTTGGATGAAAGCCTCTGCCAAATGAATAAAAATGCAAATGAAAACATGTCAATTATGTAGGAGATTCAGAATTTTTTAGAGTGTAATATTCATGGGTTGTGTGATGTTCATTAAGTTGTTCAAGATCATCTATGAGGCACATGTATGTTTGTGTTTTTGTCCCATATCAGCAGTGATTTATATTTAATGTTCTTTTTTTCTTCTTCAGGTTTTTTCGGTGTTGATACAGATGGAGGGTCAATGTCTGTGATGGAAGGAGATTCAGTCACTCTACAGACTGGCATTAAAACAAATCAACCAGAAAGGATTAAATGGTATTTTAATGGCTTTCAAATAGCTGTAATCACTGGAGATCTCAGTTTTATCTGTACAGATGTTCAGTGTGAAGATGGTGCTGGGAGATTCAGAGACAGACTGAAGCTGGATCATCAGACTGGATCTCTGACCATCATGAACATCAGAACCACAGACTCTGGACTCTATAAACTAGAGATCAACAGCAGAAGAGGCACAATCAGTACAAAGATCTTCATTGTTGCTGTATCTGGTGAGTCATTATGTATAAAAGCTAATTTTGTTAATGTGTTCAGTGATGTTTTTTTCAGAGGTGTTTTTTCTCTTTATCTGTAATTCACATGTTTTTTGCAAGTGCATTTACTATTTAATTGGAATTTGTCAATGTAACTAGCCTATAAATTTAGTCGAGTATGATTTCAAAGTTGAGTTTTTATTTTTTTTTTATTTTTTAAAGATTTGTGTCGCTTGATGTTTTAAGATATTAATATATGATAATTTAAAAAAACACAATAAAGCAGGCCCTACTGTAACTCATATCATTAAAATCATTACATTATGCAGTGCAAGTTTTATAAATGTTAACCATCTTTAATATGTATGTATGTATTTATTTATTTATTCATCCTCCTGTCAAGTATTCCGTTTTGTGTTTTGATCATTTTAAGTGAAGTATTTTTATGGGTAATATTCATAATGGGTAAAATTCATGGAGTCTATGAAAATCCTTGGTTGTGTGAATCCAAAAATATATATTTTATATATAGAGAAAAGTGTCTGGGTTCTGTCACATCTGTCTGGCTTATTCATGGTTTTGTGACAGCCCTGACTGTCATGGATTGGGTTGTATGATGCACAAGATTATCCATTACATGTATGTCGTGTAATTTTGTTTAGCTTATAATTAACTGTTTTTTTTTTCTTCAGGTTTTCTTGGTGTTGGCGCAGATGGATTATCAGCATTTGTGATGGAGGAAGATTCAGTCACTCTACACTCTGATGTTAAAACAAACCAACAGCAATCTATTAAATGGTTTATTGATCAAATTTCCATTGCTGTAATCAGTGAACTTTACAGTTATATCTGTACAGATGTTCAGTGTAATGTAGGTTCTGAGAGATTCAGAGCCAGACTGAAGCTGGACAATCAGACTGGATCTCTGACCATCACAAACACCAGAACCACAGACTCTGGAGTTTATCAACTACAGATCATCAACAGCAACACCAGTACAACTGAATTTGGTGTTGAAGTACATAGTGAGTCATTAGGTTTTTATAGCAAATCTTGTACATTTAAGACATGTTACATCAATAATGAGTTTAGTGATAGTCTTGTTATGGAGAAGATGCCAGTTTTTCTTCAAACAATCTCTGATCATCTTTTCAGAGGATTTGATGCAAAAAAGTATGCAAAATGTGTTCATAAGCACAAAATGTCGTCAAATGTTGCTTGTCAGAAAGCACATGAATACCAATTTCATATCCACAGATTTTGCATGTGGTTTTAGTTTGTTTTTATCTAAAGATCTCCAATCAGCTGTTGGTTTGTGTTTCAGATTTTTCTGCTGCGGAACGAGATGAAATAAAGAGAAAGTTAGTGAAGGAGGGAGAATCTGTCACTTTATACACTGGAGAAATAAAAAACCCAAATTATTTGATGACGTGGTGTTTTAATGACACTCGTATAGCTGAAATCACTGGAAATCAGAGCAAGATCTGTACAGTTGTTCAGTGTGAAGATGGTGATGAGAGGTTCAGAGACAGACTGAAAGTGAATCATTCATCTGGATCTCTGACCATCATGAACACCAGAATCACAGACTCTGGAGACTATCAACTAAATATTACCAGCAGCAGGATCACCATCATTAGGAACTTCAGTGTTTCTGTCATAGGTGAGTACCATTTAGTCATTCAATGTATTTTCCAAGTTTTAGAATACGGTTCGAAAATTGTTTTCACTGTAGCCTGTTTAAAATGGTGAGCTGTGTGACTCAAGGTTAAAATATAACACATCATCTCTATCACCCTCACGGCACACATCAAGTGACACAAGAAGCATGTGCTGTTAACAAGTTAACTATGAAACACTGCGTAATATTAGTCATTGTTCCAGTGAACTCTGTTGTTTACAGTGATGCTGTTTTAACTGCTGTTCCTCAAAACCCCACTAGATTTGCCAGCTATCTCAATAGCATACAACTGATGACCAAAGTAGAATGGCATAAATATCAGTCAAATATATTGATAAATATTGGATCGATTTATCATTCGCTCACTAGTAGAAATGACTATCTGTCTTCAGCTGACCTAACAGGAATATATGCTGCTGTTTCTGCTGTTCTGCTGCTGGTGGTTGCATCTGCTGGTTTAATTTACTCTTGCAAGTGCCATTCAAGAAGGAAATGTGAGTGTTACATACAGCTGATTTAACAAGATGGAAATGTGACATTTAAAAAAAATGTGAGAATGTTTTGTATTTTACCCTAGCCACGGTAATGTGTTTAATTGAGTTTTTGTTGTTCGAACAGACATCAGGACCCAGCACAATGATCAGGTGAGATACTATTAAAAAAAAACGCATTTGTCTGTCTGCCTTTAGTTAGTTAGTTAATTAATTAATTTAAAAAACACATTTAGATCTGTTAAGATGGCAACATTTATGCGTGTGTGCAGTTTGAATCAGAAATCATCGCATAGAAACACCAATAAAAACTGACACTTCAAGACAGCACTGCTCTGCTGTTATACTTCTAGAATGACAAACAGCCTTATGAATGTATTTTATATTATTATACAATTCAAATAATTTATATATAATTATCATTATATTATTATTATAATTACATTTGTTTACTATAGGCTGTTAGGACCCTGGTCTACCCTAGGACATAACATCATAACATTAATGCTTCTAACAAATTAACTCCCATATGAACTAAATGACAAATAAGATGAAAACTAAAAAGTGCAGTTTTATTTATTGACCATGTAAGAGTACATTCTAATGAATCGGAATCGGAATGAGCTTTATTGCCAAGTACGCCTATACATACAAGGAATTTGTCTTGGTGATGGCCTGAGGAGTGACATTTGTCTTGGTCCAAAGTAATTTTACCAGTGCTTTTTATTCATTCTGGATGAGTATAGTTCCTTGAGATTGTTTTTCAAACCTCCAATAATAATCATTGAGGTCATCAGCCAGCTGTTGATTCGCCAGAGCGACCTTCTTTTGGCCTGACAAAGCTGTCTTGAGTTTTGCTGTGAACCATGGAATTGTCATTGTTTATTTTAAATTAGTCCTGGAAGGAATGCATGCATCCTCACAGAAACTGATGTATGATGTTACAGAATCAGTGAGCTCATCCAGATCAGTGGCAGCAGCTTCAAAAACACTCCAATCAGAGCAGTCTGCTCTGTTCATTTATTTTCTGTGAATCTGTATTTTCTTACAGGTGAATGGTGTTGAAGACTCGTCCCCTGATCAGACAGACTCTATTTTGATGACTCCTGCCAGTCAGATATTCCAGACTGAGACTGATGCTGTCAATGAGGCACCAACTTAACATTATTCATTGTTATGATTCTTTCATAAAAGAGGCAGTGAGGAGAAGACAACACTCAGACAAATAGGGTTTCACTTTGACAGCAAAATATATTTTTTAGTAATTTAAATACATAAAAAATGTAGCAGAAATATTTTTTAAATTCTATATACTTTTACACAAATGAGAGACAAGGAACAAAAGAACACGTTATCTGCAATAAAACAAAGAGCGTTTGAGGTTTTTCAGTATATTTAAACTGCAAGACAAGCACTCTTCACAGAACAGCTGCCAAACAACACATGTCTACTGCTGATACTGGTAATGTTAGATTTGTATAGTTTTAGTACTAGCATCTTAACAACACTACACTCTTGTCTCTAGCATTCATGTTACTCTAAGGCCTTGTCCACAGTAATACATTTTCATTTGAATAAAATAACTTTTTCTCTCCGTTTTGTCCTTCCGTCTACATTGAAACAGCCATTATTTTTTTTGTTTCTTCAGTTCTGTGGACTGTAGAAACGGTTATTTGAAAACGATGATTCATGTTTAGACATGTGACAGTGAATGGGGAGATATTTAGCTAAATAAAATGATCCTGCCAGAAGAATAGTTTGATAACTTGTCTGCCATCTCAGTGAGCTTTCATGTAATTTTATCACATGCACAAGATTAATTTAGCATTTTCTGGAGAAAATGGAGACCTGTAGGATGTTATAGATCAGGGTTCCTCAAATCTTGCCCTGGAGGTCCAATGCGCAGCAGAGTTTAGCTCCAACCCTGATCAAACTCACCTACTTGTGATTTTCTAATGATGCTGAAGACATTGATTAGCATGCTCAGGTGTGTTTGATTAGGGTTAGAGCTAAACTCTGCAGGAAAGTGGATCTTGTGGGCCAGATTTGAGGATCCCTGCTCTAGATGTCTTATCCAGCTCACATCTCTTTCAGTTCTTGAAGCATGTTCAGCTGTGATGTATCTGGCTCTCTCAAGTTTCCCCATGTCAATGTAATGTATATAATCAGTTGATATCAACTGTAGCCTACTATAAATATAGTTGTATATAATCATTTCACAAATGCTTACAGATCATTAAAATTATTAAAAACTTATTTTATGTCATTAAAAATTGTATATATATATATAGTTCCCTTTCTGTGAAATGAATGGATTTAATAGGGAAACTGCGAGAAGTGAAAGTGACGTGACATGTGGCCAAGTATGGTGACCCCATACTTGGAATTAGTGCTCTGCATTTATCCCATTCTAAGTGCACACACACCCGGAGGCTCAATGCTATATGAAATTCAAGTTATACACAATAATTATCGTATTTTACCTGTAATGGATTGGGAAAAGTAGGCTAGATTCAACATTTTAGTGCAGTAACGACTCCAGGCACAAAAAAGCTAAAGATTATTTTGTTTTATAATGCATTTTATTAGGTTCTTTGCTCATTTAAGTGCTATAAATACAGATTTCACGCACCTGTGTTTTGCATCTGTAAATTTGTTTATTATGAAAATCATATTTTAGAATATGAATTGTTAGTACCATATGACATTATTTTTAAACATTCCATTGATTTTCTAGATTTTAGGCCCTGTGTCTATTTTATCATTAGTTCTCGGTTCCTCTCTGAGTACAGCAGCATCTATTTATAGCGCACTCGAGTTTCTCCTTTAAACACTAGAGAGCGATGATGTGCTTGTGATATATATGCCAAAATCTCCAGTAGCCCTTACGAAAAATAAGTTTATTCAAGTGTGCTATTTAATATACTTCTTTTAAACTAAAAAATAGTAAAGTATACTTTTAGTCTACTTTTTATGTACTTCTCAGAAATATACTTAAAATGACATTTTTGTTTACAAGCAGATACCCTGTTCTTTTGATGTTTTGTATGTTCAGATATTCATGTAACAAAATATATACAAATTAATACCTAAATAGGGACATAGTAGTATACTTAAAGTTTGATGTAAAGTTCACTTAAAGAAAATGTAAGAGTATACTTGCAGTATAAAACTACTAAACTAGTAGTTTACTGAGACTATACTTCAAAGTGTACTAAAAATGCTACTACAAGTATTTAATTAGTAAACTATCAGTATACCTATAAGTTCATTTTTAGTATAATTGCAGTACAAGCTAAAAAATGTTATGTAACTAGTACTAAAGTTTACTACTGTTATACTTAAAGTATACTTAAAAATATACTTTTATATACTAGAAAGTGGGCCAATTTAGTCCCAAGAAGTATTGAAATAGTACACTTACAAGTATACTACTAGTACACTGATATTTGTATACTTACTACATAAAGTATACTTAATAAAATAAACTTGAAGTATACTACTTTTTGGTAAGGGAGTGCATACTGACAAGAAAACAAATAAACAAAAAAAACAAGCAGTAAATGGGGTCAATATTTAATAATGAAAACAGAACATTTTAGTTGAGATTCTGGATTCTGTACTATTTTTGAACCACTAAATTAAACTAATACAAAAAAAAAACTAACAGCAAAAAGAAAAACAGAAAAGATGTGATACAAAGGGCAAAAACAAAACTGAGAGAAGAATAACATCCTGGCAGAGAATAACTGTGAACACAAACAGGTGTGAGTCAGGGTCCTGTGTGAGCACTAGCATCCATTCTGGTAGATACCTATTTGATCATCGTTTTTTGGGGACATTTTCATACACAGCATCCGACTTTGATTTCTGCAAGGAAACACAAACTTAGTCAGGAATCTTGCTGATGCAACATAACATTAATAACAGACCAGCTTCTTCTATAAAATGATTTGCTTAAGTAATACTACTTTAAAAATCTCAGTTAGGTCATTTTCCATAATTTTTACTCCAAAGTTTAAACCTGTTTGCATAAAGCTTCTCGTTGTAGCCTGTGAATAATTTATTCTCAGTTATGAATTATGAATGGTGATTATTTGTGTAAATGCTCAAATTATATGATCATGTGTATGTTGAAATATTTGTGCCATCTAGTGAACAGAACACTAGACGACAGATTTATACATCAGTGCTCGAGGCTACAGATGAATGCAAAGGTGGTGTGTAGGAAGGCCACATATGATTCTCTCGAGGAATTATAATGAATATTTGATTAACTCTCTTTTTTGAAATGACAGCACGTCAAAACACTGCTTTATTATTTTTAACATGCAAATTTGAATCTACAAATATTGACGTTTCTGGAAACACTGCTACAGAAAAGATGCTAACATGGAGCAGCAAGAGGAAATGATGTCAAACATTCAGCTTATCACATGACTTTTTAAACAGTTAAAACATCAAACAGGTTATTTAAGTTCTGAAGGTTTCTCGCTACTGAGAAGGTTTTTTTTTTTTACATAAAAGTAACAGCAAAGATACTTGTTTCAGCACATCTACAACCACTGGCCACTAAGGCTGCATTCACCTCAGAATAATTATATACCGTGGTCCAGCTGCAGCTCGAAGCCAGACTCTAGCACAGGTAACATAGGTTATTTATTTAAATTAGGCCAAAGACCACATCAGGCTGAAGTGTAGCGGTCAAATGTTTTCACATAATGAATACAATTTATTGGGATTGCATAATTACATTCCAAAAATGAAGTACTTGTAATTAGATTAAATTACATTTTAAAATACTTGTAATATAACTACAGTTCATTTTTTATTGATTACATGATTACATATTATTCACACAATAGTAATTAAGTATTCATAATTTATTGATTCTCCCTATTTCCTCTTTTTCATCTCTTAAACGTTCCTTTCTAAAATAGCCTACTGCTTATATACATTCAGAAAGTCTTACAGTTTTGTTGACATTAACACAAACTTCATAAACTTTTGAGAGCAGTAGTGGCAGTGCGCCGATTTTTGTTTATCGACATTCACACAAAAACCAGTCACTTGTCATTTGACGACTGCATTTACAAAAAATCATTTCAGGTTTAAGAAATGTTTGAACATTGCATCAACTACTAATCACTTATATAACCATATATTACTACGTCAAAATAAATATATATATAAATATAATATAAATATTTTAAGTATCACATTTGCATGTTCATGGTTCTCTGACATTGGTTAACGGTCACATGATATGCAGATAAACAAATAAAATATTTCATTTTTTTTAGTAGGCCTAAGTGTTTTGTTCTGATTCATGATATTTTCAAATTATTTATTTTATTTGACATTTTTATGATTAATTATTAGCTTTTCATTAAACTCACAAACCCCCTGCAGTGCGAAGCCCAGTTTGGGAATCCTTTATGTAATGTAGGCCTAATGTTAATGCACTTCATGTTGTTAAATACACAAATGGAATATATATTCTTTGTATTTTTTCTATCAATATGGTACAAATGTAACCGGCTTTTGTTCTAATGCATGATGTCTTATAGTGTTATGATAATCACAGTGTGTGAACGCATAGCCTATTTAAAATTAGAACGACTCTTAAATTTAATTCAATCACACGTGTTGCTTTTTATTGGTTCTCTATTCTGTAACCACTCCGTGTCAGCGCTATAAGCGTTCAGAGAGAATCAATCTACAAATAAATGTACAATCTACAAGTACAATCTACAATCTACAAGTTGTTTACAAATTTGGCGCCTGAGTTCTAAGCAGATTTACAAGTTCAGAAAATTAAATAAAAGAGCGAATGGTGGAGAGCGATTGGTGGAGGATGAGCTCTTATTATTTTGCTCCACTTCAAGCACCATGCTCATATGTCCCCATCACGGCAAAAAAAAATGTTGACAGCAGTTTTGGGTAAGAAACTATAAAAAATAATAAATAATGATAATAGCTATAAATATGAATAATTATAGCTACTAATTCCTTCTTCAACAATTTAATTAGATTATTACTCTCTCTAAAAAGTTTTGCATCACTCAACCTGGACCGTACTACAACACAAGGATAGACATAAAATGACTTGTTTAATTATTTTAAATAAATAATATAAAATTACATAAATTACTCTTGAAGTATTTAAAGAAAGAAGGTTACACTAAAAACATGCATTTTTACATCAGATGATAATTTTGATATTAAATCCACTATTGTTTTATATTGAATTGTTCTATAGTCTGTACGATACATAATAAAAGTATATCAGAAATAACTGTGATTAAACTACAAAAAATACTTTAATACTTTTTTGAATCATTCTTTCTTTAGGTCTGCAAAATGCAAATAGACATGCAAAATGGAAAAACTGATGTGCAAACAGCACATACGCATAAAAGCGCATAAAAACATACTCTCCTTTTGATCTGCTCCCTGTATACTAAAGGTAATACTGATGACGGTTGGGCCGATAGATCACCCAGGTCTTTTCACTGACCACCTCATGCATATTGCACACAAAACTTCAAACATCAAGCTTCAATCGGACTAACTGACTGCAATGCATTTTCTTGCAACACAATCATGAATGATTTACAGTAAAAAACTTACCGTTTTTCGAGTTGTTGGTTTACACAATGCTGAACCAGTTCTGTCTTCTTCCTGGGTCTGGACTGCATTAACAATGATCACAGACGTGTTCAAATGATAAAGTTTCAGAATTATTTTGACATTTGTGTCTTTAAATTATATTTGAATTGCTTGCTCTGCTTACCTGTTTTTCTACATTTCTTGCAGATGCAGCACATCACGACTGCAGCTACAATCAACAGAGATCCAGCAGCAGAAATCAACACTATGTAGAATAATGGTAGGCCCTGATCTGTAATGGACAAAATGAGCCATTATTTAGAGTGCTATATAACAGTGTTCAGTGCTATATAACTTGTATATCACTGGTGACATACCTAAACGTGGCTGACAGAGTTGAGTAATGTTGAGATATTGACTCTGGTTAGTGAATGAATTGTTGAGCACACAGCTGTAGGTGTTGTTATCCTGATATTCCACCTCCAGAGGTAGAGAGAGACTGATGCTGAGATCAGACACACTGATGCTGGACAATAAACTGTTTCCTTTGTACCAGGAGAGAGTCACATGACCCACATTCACCACTGAACACAGCAGCACACATTTTGAGTCTGATGATGATGAGTTTTGTGAAAAATCTCTGGTAATGTTAAGAACGGGCAGATGGGCTGAAAAATAAGAGAACAAACAGTATAGATACATGTACACAACAATCTTGTTTTTTGTGTAGTGTGCTGACACAAGGTGAGTGTTTCTGTCAAATGAAGCTATAATATGATTAAACATTACAATATTTTCTGGTTGCAGTACAATTTATCCTAAATTAATAGCATTTGCAGCATTACAAAAAATATACAGAGAGACACTCTCACAATTTAAGTAAATGTAGCCAATCTGTAAATGTTAAAATACTCAAATAAAATACTTGAATGGCCATAGACATAAACAACACCCTAAAACGGGTGTAAAAATTATTTAAAACTCTTTACAGCTCAAATAATACCCCAGTTTTAACCAGTTAAAG